TCTAAAGTAATTATCACATAAAACAATAAAATTGTCAAGACTGGGCCAGTCTAGTTGTTATGGTTGATTACATTTGTGATTAAAGGGCGGTGGCCATCGCGCAGCGCGTGTTCAAATCATGTAAACAATTTATTTTACACGTGTTGTGTACATCGCTATTATGAGTCACGTATCGAACAGTGCCCTTTAATATAATTTTGAGTTTATCGCGAGGAAACCGAGTAGTGTACACGAAGGCAGTACGGTGATCGGATTTACCGACGCGTAGCGGAGCTTGATGCGACCCGTAGTGCGTACAAATTCTGTTGTTTGGTATATGTATACTAATACAATATATTACATTTCTGTATAATATTTTAATAATGTGGTTCGGGGTTATTTTATTTTTCGTTATTATTTTATGTTATTACATGGTTATTCGAGGTGTTATTGCAGTTTGTTACTTTTGTGGTTAAGGGTTATTACATTTAAATTTGAGGTTTATATAATTGGTTGATATTGCATTTTAGTGAATTATTATGTATCGTGATTTATTCAATTTGGGATTAAGAATTTCTACACAAACATACAGGATTTATGCATAAACTTTCTTCCAATTTTGAATGATATCGTTCTAAGCATATAAACCGATTTTTCAAAAAAAATACCTGTAATGTTTTCAAAATAATTGATATCGAAATCAACTCGACGTTCTAATTGGATTTGACTCAAAACCTAAACCTGTAAACCAAATATTTCGTTTTTCATCAAAACCAGTCGAAATAAATGTTTTTAATGTACGGACAAAGTGTGATATATGCCAAACAGGGGTGCCGAGGCCACATGCCGACTCACGATAGTTATGATAACATGAATTCAATGTCATGTAATGTAATTTCAATGTAAAATAAATTCAATATAGTGTAATAGAATTTGTGTGGTTGTGATTTATATGTAAACTACGGGATAGCATACTCTATTGTCTTCATTTATCATGTTTCTATATGATCCTATTATTAAATAATTGCATAACGTCGTAAATATCGAATGTTTTCTGTTCTGATGTCATATGTGTGAGTTTAAACAAAATTACCGTGGTATTGATGGTATGTTGGCAGAGTGGGAAAGGGTAGTCGGATGATGATAAACTATGATAATCTTGAATTTCCAAGATTTTGGAGAGGCGACGCCCCAACATTTATTTGAGGCCCCCTGCCCCCTTCTCCCCTCCTTTGCCGCCGCCACTGAGCTATCCTACCCTCTATGTGATTTGGAAGTCACCATACATATGTACTCCATCGCCAATATCAATCTGTTTTCTGCATAGTTGGTTTTCAGCTTCAATTTCACGTTTTATAGTTCAATTTGTGAACTAGAGAAAAGCAATTTTCTCAGAGTGAATCTTTAAAGGGCGGTGGTCGTCGCGCCAGGCATGCGCAAGATATAGAAGTCGCATGCACAAAGATGGCGACAAACTGAGACGTTACTAAGATTTAACTATGAAATTTTCTTGGTGATTGGTAGGCATCGAAAGAGTCACTGGTGGTAATTAGTACATGTTGCGCCCAGGTCAAAACTCGTACTCGTGATTTCCACTAGAAGAGCGCATTGGATTGTGGGAAAATCAATGTTTATCAACCCAAATGTCACGCATGCGCGGCGCGATGTGTATCACGTTTGATTCGATCCTGCATAGTGTTAAAATCGAATAGTCAGCTAAAGCGACTTCTTGAAAGGAATATCGCATTATTAAGTTTGGAAGCAGCTTATTCAAAATTCACTTCCTCTACGATAAGAAGTACTTAATTTACCCCAACCATTCCTTTTCATTGGAAAGGCGTATTTCAGACCAATATTTGTCACTTCACCATATACTGAATGTCTGCAGCCTTTTAATGAAACATTAATTTTATGAGCTTTCAGAATAAATAAACCACATTTTATGAATCGGCAACAAATTCTCAGGCATACATTTTGTTTAAAAAGGCTGATAATGTAAAAATACAGTAAACTAATCCTGACATTGAGTGTTATATTAGTTTTTTGTGTTTAATAATTCATTAATCTTAGATTTCTGTCACAAAAAAATGTATTTCTTTTTAGAAATAATATTTAACTCTAGATTCGACAGGTTATTTGTTTTATTATCATTTGCACGCCAGCTGACTGCATGGAGTCATGTCAGTGTTTCACTGGAATGGTTGGTTACGCCAGCGCCATCATCGATATATCGACACCATAAAAACAAAACCAACTAAAATTTATTTTGTCACCTATGAGGGCAGCAACATGCATACATTATCCGCCATCTTGAATTTCTTTCGACAACCGTGTGGCTCGATAATTCGTGTGCAACTGGGTTTTATACGATTGCCTTCTACCGTTTTGTGCAGACGCCGATCGATATGTCGCACAATTCTCTGGGATCGGGGGAATTTTGTCCTGTCCTCTGAACCACCTTGTGTATGTACTGACAGCTCGGCGTTTTAATGTAAATAGGGCGTTCATTTTGTTTTATTTATCGGCTGGTGTGCAGTTCCTTTGAATCATAACAACATTTCTTTGTCACTTGTTGTGTTGCAACAGCATCGGAATAATCAACATGTCCTTGCCGGATTACGATAAAATTAGAGTCGTTGGCAAAGGGAGTTACGGTGAAGTGTGGCTTGTGAAACACAAAAAGGACAGAAAACAGGTTAGTACTGTGTTACTGCTTTGTATTCAAAGCCCCGGTTGAATATTGTATGTGTGCTAGCTTCTTGAAGATTAATAGACTAACACGAATAATAATTAATAGTTAATTATTATGCTGGCAAAAATTAATTTAAAGTTGTCCACTAAGACGAAGATAAATTACGATGTTGATGAGCGATTACATGTAGGTGTTGATTTGGTGACCTACTGTTTTGTTTGCGTTCCATTTATTACACGAAATCTGCAATGTAAACAAGAATATTGGCAAAGCCGTCTGCAAAATATGGTCGTTTTTTCTCTCATAATCTAGTTTTGAAAACTAAACCTGCATTTCAATATTTATTTTTTCCTATATGGTTAATGTGTTGTTTATTTCATGAATATAACCTAAAGATGTTTTCATTTAAATCAGGAAATAACACTGGGGGAAAATAATAAAATATGCATTGATTGAAGTAAAAATTAAAATTTTCAGTAATTCCCGACTCATGGATCTTGGATGTATTAATGTATGAACTGGTAATATATTCCATAGACTACAGTATGTAGTAATTACTGGAATGATTAATCATGTGCCTCCACCCACCCACCCAGCATCACCTGATGGCATGGCAACCATTTTGTAATGGCTGCACTGTTCAGGCATCATTAGTCATAATTTAAAACTGTGGATGTTTATTTTTCTACTGATTTATCAAATATTTACATGCAAAATTATTGAGGAAAAAGTTATTTTATTTTCACTGATGTCCTAATTGAAATGGTATTCTACTGTATGTACTTGTACAGGGACATTTATATTAATTAGCAGTTTTTAATTATTTTACAGTTTCCAATATGTATTCTAATTTTTGGGATTCTTTGGGATTCAATTTTTGAATTTATACAGTCCCTGTGTGTATTGTAGTGTTCCATTTGCTCGCATAGATGTGTATACAATTGTTATGATTAAATATTTTTATTTTAGTAATAATAAAAAAAATAATAATACGTATTTTTATGTAGAGATTACTTGTCAGCCCCGGGGTCAGGAAACAGCTCGTTAGGCACTTGCTCTAGGCTCAAACATTTTTGTTGAATGACGTACAGAAAGATGAAATCTGAATGACATTATTGTGAATGATACAATGTATACTCCAACAATGCGTACACATTGCATGCATGCATATCACTAAACATGTGTAATATATACATTGCTTAAATGAAATCAAAACTGATGCTGCACAGAGGCTATGGTGCTTTAGAGAATGTTTGTAAACAAGTCATTGAAGAATCAGTGCTTAAGTTTTTAAACTGTCTTAAAAACATTACAGTTTTACAACAAAAACACTTAAAGATGTCCTTCAGTTATCAATATCAACACAATTCATTCAGAATCCTGTTTGGTCAAAGGTCATTGTAACCTTTGTATACATTTCTTGCACCATATATTTACTGACATTTTCAGAAAAAATTAAATTAAAACATCATCTTATCATTTAAAAATGAATTTATTCTTGGTATCAAGATGCAGATGCATGTAAAATAAATAACCAGATTAGATAGCAAATAGTTTCAAATAAACCTTATAGGTTACTAGTACGAGTACTTGCATTTCTTTGTGCTTAAATATGAGTAAATATTTGTAAATATGATGTGTTATAATCAGCAAGTGAAAATTAAAGCTCTATATGCAAATGTGTTGAATATATAATGTAGAAAAAATTAATCATAACATTGTAATTAACTATCTAGGTTGAAATGCAATAATTGCCCTACCCTATTGCCACTATTTAATATTAAACAAAGACTACAGAATGTCACAGAACAGCAATTCTGTATGGAGTACCGGTAATCGTTATCTATTGTTGTCGCAGCAATTTGTTGGTATCTTTTAGATGGTATGCCAGATATTACATGTGGTTAATATTTATTAAGAAAAGTACCGCTTCAGTTCAGTTGTCTACGTGTGTTGTATTTGCTTGATTAGAACCTCATCCTTCATAGACGTGCATTTGTTGTAACATAAATCATAAAAATATTAATTATTTTGACCATAGAAACAATTCTGTGTAATATTTTATGCGAGTGCGAGAAGAGCAACTAGAGTAAATGATCTCTGATACAGTAATCACAGATATTTCTATACACAGTGCCACACCCAGTGATTTCATCATTTTAACCCTGGGCAAATTACGTTTCCATGACGTCAGACAGTAAAATTAATTCTGTATCTCGCATTGTATTGAATACTGACCACACCCTTGTACAATATGCTAATTAACATCAAATTTGCATGTAGCTACTTGTGTTAATTAATTCCCACATAAAAATACTGTATGCATTTGGACAATACTATCACCATACATATAGTGTATGTAATTTCTACAATATTTTTTTTATTTTGCTCTTCTTTTTGGAATTCAACCACATGGCGTGAAATATGTTTTTATAATATATATATATATATACTATTAATCAATCTTGATGATTATTATAGGCAAGAAATAAAACAGTCCTTTATTTTTTCATGATTTCTTAGTTTAAAATCTACCTGCATTGACATCTACCATCCTTTTTAACATTGACCAATTCAGCGACTTGTAAAAATTATTTTTCTTCAACCATCTTCAAAAAATAAACATTTGGCTGAATGGTAGATTATCGGTGTGTTCTCTACATATGTGTACAACGTAAGAAATTTAGGTTTGTTAATGTACATGTGTATGCACTTTTGATTTATCTTTTCTTTTCCATTGAAATTCAAATAAAAGTCTGTATGCCCTATATTTAATTGGTGAAATGAATAGTGCATTTAATGGAGCGTTGCTTGGTGTTGCATCATGTTCAATATGGTTCCATAGTGATGTATACAACGCATGAAAAATCTGTATTAAGAGCTGCAGCTTTTATTAAAATGGTACAATGCAACAGAGGAGATGCGGTTTCTATTATAGCATCTACACATATGAGAAATGGTGACATTTTGGGTCTCAATTGTTCAAAAATTAGGAATACGGCTTCTAATTTTAAGGTACATAGTTGTTTATACATCTGAACACGCACTGTGCTGCGTCCACCCCCCTTAAATTGAGAAGATTACTACAATGTATCAACCTCGTTATTCACAACTCTGAATGGAAAAAATGGTTAATGTTTTGGAGTAATCACAGGAAAAGTTATTTCTATTTATTGTATTTCAATTATTTATGATGTACATGTAGGTCCCATGCCACGTGTACAACGTGTGTTATAAATAAATTATGTTTATTTTCAAGTTTTTGAAACTTGTACAATATGTTAGTATTTATTATACTGCACACGTTTCCTTTGATATCTGGGTACATGTAAAATGTGCCATACTGTAAAAGGGGTAATTATTCACTGGGTTTTAATTTTGCTTATTTCGCTCACTAGAAAATGTGCTAAATTAAAACCCAGTGAATATGTAAAATTTAGCTTAGAACACATTATCTAAATGATAAAACCGTGAATTTAAAACCCACTGAATATGCCTGAAATGGTAAATCAGCGAAATTTAAACCCAGTGAAAATTAGTCATTTTACAGTAATATCAAATCTGTTTGTTCCTTATAGAGTAAAGTACCTGAGGGGTTTGATAAAAAAGAGATGTAATTAATTGTGAACGTATTGATATTTTTAAAGAATTGATATTTTTAGAATTTTTTTTCTAGATCTATACCATTTATGTATTCATGTATGTGGGAGTAATACAGGATGATTTATTGACTAATTGTAAAATAATTCATCATTTCAAAAGCAAATGATCAATGAAATAATAAAGCTATTAGTGTTACCTTGCGGGAGTTGTGAGGAATATTGGCATTTCTGAAATTTTCACAACTGAATACTGCTATGTCTGTCAAAACGTTTTTTATTTCTTGATAATTGTTATTTAATAAATAAACTACAAAATTAATGAAACACCCACAAAAATAATAAGTTATTCCTTCAATATATAGATAAAATCTATATTTACTATCTGTATTGTTTTTTCTTTGTAGTATGTTTTGAAAAAGATGGATTTACAAAATGCCTCAAAGCGTGAGAGAAAAGCAGCCGAATTAGAAGCTAAACTTTTATCCAAACTGAGACACCCTAATATAGTGAGTTACAAAGACTCGTTTGAGACTGAGCAGGGATTTCTGTTTATTGCTATGGGATTTTGTGATGGAGGTGATCTCTATACGCGGTTAAAGGAACAGAAAGGGAAAGCACTGGATGAAAAGCAAATAGTGGAATGGTTTGTACAGATTGCAATGGCGTTACAGGTAAGCATTGTCTTTTTTAACATCATTTTCCCATAAAAATGGAAATCCAACATTTTACACTTCTAATTCATTTTTCTATAATTTATTTGTTAATTTAAGGCTAAATGGACATTTTTGTTAGAGTTGGCTTTAGTGCTGAAATGTTTAATTGTTGAAAATGTTGTTCTTTTCAAAGAATTTGGTGTTTATTTGTATTAATGTAGAAACAAAAAACGTACAATGTACGTGTGATAATTTATAAGGCTTAATTGATTGCTGGGTTTTGTCAGTTTTTCACCGATACAGAAATAATACACCGAAATTATGACCTATGTTGAGTTTAATATTTTTTCCTTAGCAACCAGTAAATTTAAAAAACCTAGTGAATATCTTTGCAACAATAAACCTGCTAAAATTAATATCTTCTTCTACAGAAGGTGGTAACTGTGAAATATTGAATTTTTTGCACCGCTATAACTTGTAAATGTTTAAAAGGTCATTGACCTTCTTGTATTGAAGACCCTGGTGAATTGTTCACCGTTACAACATTTTGTGATTTTCCCAGACTCGTAAAAATCATGAAATATTTTTTTTATTTACGAAATTAATGTGGTTCACGGATATTTATATCATATTTACCGATATAAATTTTCATCATCTTATTTTTTTCATTTTTAAGACCTTACTGCTGTACTTTTTTAAATCAGCGTTGTGGCAATAAATATTATTACCGGTAGTCCTCGTTCGAACACAAAAAACAGGGACTTGTGGATTGAACTATATGTGTGCGTTCGTGCATCCGTTCGTCTCAAATGCTTGAACCACTTAACCACATATCAGGTCATTATATATATCTGGCATCTATAATACAAACATTGACTATTTTATTGACAATAACTTATAATAAAATATCTGTCAGCAAAAAAAAAAAAAGAATTTATACAATCGTAAAACCTTCTATGGTTGCTTTTGAATGTGTCACAAATGCTTTACCTTATTCTGCAAAACATGCGTCATATTTACGTCACATTGTAGCAAGAACGTAGCATGTGACAGAAAAGAAAACTAAATGCAAAAATTTGCAGAGGCACGAATCTTGTGAAAGGCTTTTGGATTTAGCATTGTGGGCCACGTTATCTCTCTAAATTAGGACTGCATTAGTAAAAAGATGTATGATTGAATATCATGAGGTTAAATAATATGGGAATACCATAAAGTGTGCACTGAAGCAGTACAGGATTGAACAATCGATGCAATCTTC